GTGCACGAGGACGCCGCCGGCCCCGTTCCAACCGAACTGGTTGGAACGGGGCGAGAAACCCACCCCTGGCGGGCACCAAGGACTCCACAGCAAGATCACAACTTATATTTCAAAAGAACTCTTGGCACAAAATTGCTCTCTTGACACAAAATTGGGAACAGTGATCTGATTCAGCAGATCTTGTAAAAAGAGAGCCAGAAAGCATGTTTTGAACATAAAAGGGGGGCTAATCCCTGGAGGGTCCTTACTTTAGTCTTGATTTATTTTATTTCAGCAATAGAGAAGCTCACATAGGAGCTGACAACATTAATATTACTGGTTTTTTTCTTTCTCTCTCTCTTAGACAGTCTTTCTAGGCTATGGCCCTTCATTTAAATACAAAACAAAAGTACCTCCATTTGAAAATATTGAACTGTACAACCTTATGTGCGGTAAGTAGTTTGAAAAGAAAATAAATAGTATATTTGATTTCTTTTCTCAACTTTCATTTTGCCTAATAGCTTATGATTCATTTACCTTCCTTCTGTAGCAAGGTATCTTTTTCATTCATGTTTTATTTATTTTATTTATAATACTTTTCATCTCCATCAAACAGTTTGTGAACTGGGTGCAATTATTTGAGAATTCATTGTCCACATATCTGTTGTTATATTCATTACCATAACATTTATATTACAACTATATATCAATAATTATAATAATACATAATCATCATCATATAGGAAGGTATTTTAATGGAAGAACTGAATCCTAAATTTATTTTCTGTCTATGTAATCCTTGTATAGTGACCATAACTATGATCGGCAACTCTGTTGTTAAGCAAAGCAATCGCTAAGTGAAACTGTGACTGTGCTGATTATCTTATTTCAGCTTTCCTTTGCTTTACAGGACCTGCAATTACTGTAAAATACAAGGATTGGTTATAAAGTTACTTATTCATCACTTTGTAACTTCAAACACTTGCTAAATAAGGAAATTGCTAAACAATAGCAACGGCACTTAGTCTTAGAATTATATACTGCTTCATAGTGATTTTATAGCTCTTCCTAAGCGGTTTACAGAGTCAGCCTATTGCCCCCAACAATCTGAGTCTTCATTTTACCAACTTTGGAAGGATGGGAGGCCGAGTCATCCTTGAGCCAGTGAGCATCGAACTGCTGGCAGTTGGCAGCCAACAGAATTAGCCTGCAACTCAGGACTTCCTGAAGGGAATTGAAAATAACAAATTAAACACAGAAAATAATTTCTGCATTAATCTGCAGACGTTAATTTCTCCATCAAAGAAATGGGGGTTCTGCTCTCAGTCCAGTAATTTGAAGTGTTAGCAAAACATACCAAATTGGGCATAATGAGTCTTAACTGAATTTATTTAAATTCAGTTCTTTCCAATGGTTTCATATTTGGATGTCAAGGCAGAGTATATTAAAACTCTTGGGAATGGTAGTAATCTAAACCTCCCTTCAAACTTACCATTACCGTGTTTCCCTGAAAATAAGACAGAGTCTTGTTTTCTTTTGAACACCCCCCCCCTTGAAATAAGCACTTGGCCTTATTTTTGGGGAGGTCTTATTATTTTTGAGGTGCAGGAGGCAGTGAGCGTGGTCACCTCATGGCTGCTGCTGTTTTGCAATATTTTCGGGCATGTCTTATTTTCGGAGAAACAAAATAGCTGGCATGAGAGATGAAAGAGAGCCTAAATCCAGTAATAGAAATGGGAGAGTCATTTGATGAAGACCCCATTTATATCACAGTAGCCTTCCTCAACTTTTTGCCCCCAGATGTGTTGAAGTAGTTTCCATCCATTTTTACTTATCTTGCCTTCTGCTTTAACCCCCTCTTCTTTTTGATAATTTGATAAGCAACATTCTCTTTATTCTGTTCTTCAGGTATGTCTTGCCCACCTAACACCCACTATGAGCTCTGTGGCAGTGGTTGTCCAGCCACGTGCAAGAGCCTCATCTCACCGCAGAAGTGTGATGTTCCATGCCTGGAAGGATGTTTTTGTGACTCTGGATCTATCCGCAGTGGGGATCAGTGTGTTTCA